TACACTATCAGATCGCCTAAAAGATAAATAAGACAAGTTACACATACTAGCTCGACTAAATATTGACAATTATCTATCTTTTTACATGATCTGATGATGTAAAAATTCGATGTTGAACTCATTAATAACATTGTTGATTTGTGTTTTAAATGGCTTTTAGGTGATTACCAATGGAAAATACAAGAGTGTGGAGCACAGGGTGATTGCTCAGCCTGATGGAAACAGAATGTCCTTGGCTTCGTTCTATAATCCGGGGAGTGATGCTGTCATCTATCCAGCACCAGAATTGTTGGAGAAGGAAGAAAAAGAGAACACAGTAATGTATCCCAAATTTGTTTTTGAGGACTATATGAAATTATATGAAGGTCTCAAATTCCAAGCTAAGGAGCCAAGGTTTGAAGCAATGAAGGCTGTGGAAACTGCTGTCAACTTGGGCCCAATAGCAACTGTTTGATGAGACCAGTCAGTAGTAATACAACACCAATTAATGGGACCCTGGGAATGGGAAGAAAAGATTGTTTAGTACTAAGACAATGATGTTGTAATAATTTGTTAATGTTGGTTTAATTAGTGGGCTGCTTTGTGCAACTTGGGTTTTCTTTATGTACTCTTGTCTTGTAGTGTGATGTCTTAAGAGGAGTTTATTGTAAAGTTTTCAGATTTCCAATGAAATCTTTTATTCCCAGCATATTAATTTATTGAGTTTAAGTCACTTACAAGGTAATTAAAGGCAACCTGATAAATTCATTGTGCAAAAGAATATCCAATCCTTGATGCCTCTTTTGTTAAAAAAGGAATTTGAATGACATGGTAACTTGACAGATATATACTCTTTTTCTTCCACTAAATCACTGGTGTCATTTTCAGGGGATTCTTTATGGAATCCATAAAGCTGGCATTTTCATTTTCACCTCCGCACGATCCATTTGCCATCCCTAGTTAAATGTAACGATTTTTTTTACATTACTAAGGTTATATGGTTTCATCTTCATTCATGTCCATTGAAGCCCGGAAGGGATTTACATTACATACACCAACAACATTAACATTTTTTACACGATCATTGCAATTTAACATGTAATGGCACATTAATATCATTTTTATTGAATTTTTAGTGCAGATATTTACCTACAACTACATTGTCCTGACTTGATTGTGTAAATATTTTAGTTTCTCATTGCAAGAGAACTTAAACCCAATATTAAAGAGCTTAGCAATCCAAACCAAACATGGACTCAGAATTAATATTATATCTCTAAAACACAGAGCTGGTGAACTTATTCCATGGATTGGGACATCCCACCAATATATCCCCGGGACTAATTAATACCCTGAATCAAACACAGGAAAAATAATCCTTCATTTTATCCCCGGGATTATTGTCCCTTATCCCTCATACCAAATGACTAGTAATCTTTCCTCCTAACTGTCACGACCCAAAAATGGACATGATGACACTCGTCTTATCCCACCAAGACAAGTCAGCCTAACACTCACTCATTACAATAAAATGCGAAAATTTCATAATTTACTCAAAAATACCCCCAAAATTTGGTTGTCACGTATACAAGCCTCTAAAGTATTACAATTGATTCAAAAGAAAACACAAGTCTCAAATGACCTTGTTTCTAGAATAGAACAAGATCATAAATAGGAGAAAAAAGGTCTGCTGAGATTACAAACAACTACCTCACAAATCTCCAAGAAGCCTCGAAAAATAAGAGAATGGAAAGTATCACAAAATCCAAGCTCGTAACCTACAAAAAAAATTGTAGAAGCAAGGGGTGAGTACCAACCACACGGTACTCAGCAAGTAAACCTCTAAACACAAACTAAGGGGATAGATTACGGGTACTCCTTACCCCCCAACCGAACCTCCACAACTACAACCTACATAAAATCAACCCAACCTAACAGTTCACATTTTACATAGCATCCAGCTCAACAACAATCACCTTAACAAATTACATATCCTCAACAACAACTCAATATTCATCAATCACAACTTCCACAAAAAGGCACTCACAAATATCAGCAACACACAAGATCAAGTTCATCGAATAGAGGTAATCAAATATCAAGTACTTTCCATCCACCAAAAAAATACATAATCATCAAGAATGAAGGATGTCATGAGATGCAACGCAATATGACACCATGAAATGATATGCCTCAGAATACCAAGTACTCTCTCAACCGTATATATATGATACTCCTCGGAAATACATCGAGAGTTCATGACCGATGGGGGACTCGCGAGGTCCATATACCGACACGGACGATCTCCACGTGTCTGTGCGAACGATCTCAACGCACTATCATAAATCAAACAAATTCCGCACGGACGATCTCCACGTGCCCAAATTATAATCTTAACATCTCACCATCCCCAGCACATCCTCTGACTGATGTTCACACGGCGACTCTGGACTTAAGTGCCGGTTGAGACTAGTGTGGAAATCGGCAATCGGAAAGATGTTCACACGGCGACTCTGGATCACCGGAACGGCGAAAAAGATCTGCCGGATGAAAAACAGAGGTATGTAAGAGTGCCGTATAAAAGGGAAGATGGATGGATGGAAATTGAGTTAGGAGAATTGTTCAATGGTGGAGATGAAGATGAAGATGAGGAATTTACAGTGAGTTTAAAGGAGGTGAAGGGATTCCATGTAAAAGGTGGACTTGTCATTGAAGGCATTGAAGTTAGGCCTAAACACTAGGACTAAGGAAAATTCAAATATTGTTATCATAAATTTCATTGATCTTTTTTTCTGTCACTTTAATGATTTATTTATTTGGTTCGTGTAAAAGTTGGTGAGAAAACAAAACAAAAGAAAAAGAATTGATAATGAAATATTACATTATACTGGTTTTCTTTGAGAGGTGCCTAATGTTTGATAGTAAAAGATCGTCAGGTTCTTGTAGTATTTAACACTGAAATTATAATATAATAAGTATACGGATAAAGAACAAAATATCAAAGACGAATAAAGTTTGTGAATCCTCAATTCATTCGCTGGAAGTTACAACATGAAATCATCAATTCACCACCAATATTCCTTCCAATCATTTAGGCCATTATTACCTAATCATTAGACTAAGGTCTTGCCATTCATTATTAACCAATATTTAACTATTAAAAATTGGATCCTATCTAATAATATACCCAACAACAACAATTTCCTGCCATCCCACTATCATATTACTTCGTTAACGTCAATGCAATATGTTTGTTCTCTCGCCTAAGCCTTTAATTATGAAATCACTAGATTTGGAGATACAATTCTCACCTGAATGCTCTTGTCGCGGTGCAAGTGAGTATTCCAACCCTTTCTATTTCTTTTTCTCGGCGGCGCGAGCAAACTGCTGTTGTTCACAACAGCCAGCAACATTTACCCTTTTATTTCTTTTTTTCTTTTATTATTTATTTATTTATTTTCCTTTTCTATTATTATTAGCAACAAAATAATCTTTTATTAAATCTGAAAATCATTCCACCCATTCTTGTAAGTCATAAATTATTTAGAAAAGCTACTAAAAAGGGCTAATATAAAAATAATGATTAAAATACATAAAACGACTAAGAGGGTCGTTACACTAACAAATGAGCACTAGGTTTGCAGATACTAGAAAAAATTAGTAACAACAGCATCTAAACCTGCAAACAATGTATGTGAGCTGCATCAGAATTCAGGCATCACACCGAGGAGAGGAGCTACAGTGAGCGAAGGACGGTTAGTTGAACATCATTCTGGAAAATTATACTGTGCATAACAGTCACTTATAAAACACACACACGTGTACCTCCCTAACGGCTAGAACAGCTTGTATTAAAAGAATGTTATTCTGGATGTAGCCAGAACAAAAGGGATTAACAGATGAAAGAAGAGCAGTAGTTTAAACATTGGACATACAGATTTAAAAAAGAAAAAAAAATCCACATAAAGGGATGTAATGGAAGACGAGTTTTGATCGTGCTCATTAGCCTTGGCCACACAAAGGGCAACCATATCCCCACACATTTCTTTTTTATGAGGGTGGTGTCCATGTCAGCATGAGGCACACAATCCATCAAACAGCCTACTATAGCCCACAAGCATAGGGATTGAGTAACCCGGTGCACTAAAGTTAAAGCAGATGAGCTCACACCAAGTGTCACAGAAAATCAAACCTTGCAACTCCAGGCTGCTACTACTATACCTTGAGGACTCAATAATGACCTTGGGGTTCTCACATATCCATATCTAGTTAAGATCTACAAATCTGAGATAATGCTACCGCATACTGGATCAGAAATTATAGGTTCACATATTGAGAGAAAAGCTTCTGTATTAAACCCCTTAAACTGATACCATGTAGAATGATATGGTTCCAGCTCAACAGTAGACAGCCTTCACCATTTTTTCCCATTTCAAAGATGAAACCAGAGGTTACGTGAATTTATCAGAAAGTGAGGCAAATGAAAAAGGAGACGAGCAAAATAAGAGGTGTGAGTGGCCAACTTAATCTTGGATGGAATAAATATAATCCATGAAGAACTATGGTCCTCTGTTGCATGTCAAATTTTACTAAAATCATATCAAATATCTATGAATTATGATCATACAAGGAATTGTACAATTACAATAACAGGATAAATGGCACATACATTTCAAGGAAGCTCATCGGGGTTCTTCCTCAGAAATTACAAGAGAACTTCATATAGGATTCAGGCATTGGTGTCTGAACAACTAAGTCAAAGAGGCAGGCTTGCTTATGAATCAATTTGAAAATGTTTTAACAGCAAATATAATAGCTACGCATCACAAGTTCCAAAATCACTATCAAACAAAACAACTATCCCAGAATGTTAGCAACGTCTCATCAGCCATTAAACAGACAGAATCCGAACTATGTACTTTGGAAAGGGAGCAAGAAAGGAGAAGAGAAATAACAAGAAACCTATTTCAAAGAACAAATGTTGTTAGAAAAATGACTATTTCATAATAGTTCCCATATAACAGCAAAAAAACTTGAATGTATAATTGACGTTGCAAGGCCAAAATTTTCTGATCTCATGAACGTAAATGTTGTTTGTAAGAAAAATAAATATTGCTAAATTAGTGTCAGGTAGCCTAAGCTTTACTGGCATCACTCTTGTCATTTGGATTATCATTCCCCTCAGTCTTCAGGCTCTCAACCATTTCCTGAGATCCCTGAGTAGCTTCTTCATTGGAACAATGATTCTTCAGAACTGTTGAGATGTCAATTTCAGAAGCTCCAGCAAGCTTAAATCGTTCAACTGCAGTATCAAGGTTCACCTTCCAACCAGTCAACCCCAATTTACATTCAACTTGAGATCGCTCAAAAAGCATGTTACCCCAAAATAAATGTATTTGAGATCGCATTACAGCAGCTTGCTGTGCAGTCTCATCAGCTGAAATTTCACCTGGACCACCTGTAGCTGACACCTCACCTTCAGGACCAGCTCCCTGTTTCTTCTTTCTCCTTAGTAGTTCATCCTTCTTGCTTGTACTAGGATCTTTTAGTTCATTAGCCCTCAGCTCCTCCAGCTTTTCCCACATCTGAGTTGCTGCTTTCATTTTCTCTTCTGCACTTTCAAATAGAGCAAGCGTCTCAGTACGATCCCAACATGACAGGTCCTCTTTCTTAGCCAAGACAAAGGACCAGTGAAGTTTTGCCATTTCAAATTGCTGCTGCCCTAATGCCAACAACCCCTCGTAAAAGTCTGGTTTAATCGAGAGAGCCTCCTCATACTTCTCTTTGGCCAGAGAATATTTTTCTTTCACCCAGTCATATGCTGCTTGAAGCTTGGTAGCCATCGTCTCCTTTGACGCAGAATCATCAATTGGCATTCGTTTCCTTGCTGCACACATGTGAACATTTCCCCAGTTGAAAAAAGCCAGAGCAGCCACTTCCTGAAACTTTAAGGCAGCCTTGTCAAAAAGAGCTTGAGCTGCTTCACTTGTCACAGTCTCCTCAAGGGCTTCAGAGCTAAGCTCCATTCCAAGCTCATGCAGGTCAATGTGGGCATCTGGATCAATGCCAACATGAGTCCTGAATAACTGAGCAAACTCGAACAACCAATCATCCATCTCAACCTCCTTGCATTCAGGATCTTCTGTTGTGGTTTTCTCTTTGGTAATGCCCTTCTCTGACTTGTTAATCTCACTGTCCAGAGTTTCCACAACGGAATCACTTAGTGAAGAGTGGGATACACTCTCATCTGCTATATTCTCCTCACTCTCAACAGGCCTCTCTTCCTCTTCCAACAAAGCTGGTTCTTGTTCAGGACTCACCTCGACAATATGCAATCTCAACATCCCAATGAAGTCACCTTCATCTGCATCAGGGTCTTTTGGTACTAGACTATCAACCCAGGACTCGGCCAATCTAAGCTCAGCCGTACAGGTAATAGTTACCAAATCACTGTCACTGTCCTTATATTTAACAAGAACAGATTTGGACATTGGAAACCGTTTCATAACAATATCCCTTAAGACTCTAAAACTGCAATTTACAGGCATTTGGGCAAGTCTTATATCATGATCATAGACAAGTTTCAATGGCCTCCAACGAATCACAGCCTCTTTAGAGTGTCCATGGACTGTAATTGATGCTGAGGTTGAAGCATGCTCCTTCTGATCATCCCTACTAGGACTTACATTAGGTTTAGAAGGACCAGTTGAAGGCTTCAAGGAAACCCTTGGCAACTGAACTTTGGCCTGAGTACCATTTTCAGCTGGCATAACATGAGAGGGCTTATCCGGTTTACTATTAACTGATACAACCGTTGCCCCAGTTGATGGTACTGGCTTCTTAGACATTGATCGAGAAGGTAAACAGGGTCCTAGACCAGCAATAGAGGCGGCACCCACTGCAGATGCACCAAGTGCAGCTGGAGATGGGCGGCTCTGGAGGTCTTGCTGGGCATCCTGGCGAGGACCAAGTATCATGCTCAACCGCCCTGCAATTTCCAAGGCATCCTGATGATTCCCATCGGCATCCAATAGCATTTGCACATCTTGCATTGCCATTTCATACTTACCCACAGCCTCAAGTGCACGGGCCCTCCGTAGAAGAGCTCGAACAAACCGAGGCTGAACCTGAAGTGCCATAGTACACTCAGAAATAACAGAATCATAATCTATGGGTTTCATTTGCATCATACAGGCCGCTCTGTTGCTATGGAACACAGCTCTTTCTGGGTGAGTTTTTGGTGTAAGTTTGAGAGCATTATCATATTGTTGTAAAGCCCCTACATAATCCTTAACCTGAAACCTTTTGTTTCCCTCTTCTTTCAGTTCGTGGGCTCTTTTTAAGAAAATGGATGAGTCCAAATCAACAATACCATTAACAACAGGTTTATGGTTCTCCCCTTGATTCTGGTTTTGATTTTGACCCTTTTTCTTCTTACCACCGGATTTCCCCATATAATTACTTCCAAAGATTCAAACTTTAATACTTATAACCAAATTTAGTCAAAATCCCACTATTTATTTTCTGTATAAATCAAGAATAGCTCACAGAAATCGAATAGGAAAAAAACAACTTACAGATAAAAGTTTACACCTTTGGTGCAGAATCCAGTGTCATATGATTGCATCTGGAAGAAGTGATGTAGTGGGTCTTCCAGAAATAGTGTGGAGGTTTTGGATTTGAAACCCTAGATAGAGAAGTGGGGATTATTTCACTTTTAATTGAATATCCATTGTAGGCCCTGGATAATTTGCTTCATTGTGAGCCGTTGGATGGATGATTCAGTGCCAGCATCACCCTACTTCTTTTTCTGCTAACTATATTTTTGGTCTGCGTTGCGTTGCTATCCCACTTGGAAGATACAAGGAATGTAGGATGAAGACGGCACAAGTTCACATGTTATCTGTTTTCATCTTTAGGGAAAATTTCACCTTTTTCAGGTCCATGGTGGGACTCTCTATTCAAAAATCGGTAGACAGTAAAATTTAAGAATCAATGACAAAGGGGTTTCGAACTTGAAACCTCTAATAAAAGTCTCAAGTCCAAATCATTGGGTCATTCTGAAGAATAGAACTTTACTTGATATATTTTTTAGAGTAAATTTTAGGTTTAGCAAATATAAAAAATCATATTTGTATGTTATAGCTATAGTTTGTATAATTGCGCTTCATAGCAAATTTTATATTTGTTATGACTATTAATCTGTATATTTTGGTATACATATACATAAAAATCTGTATTTGTATATTTCGGTATACAAACTAAAACATAGTAATTGTATCTAAACAAAATTACTACATATATACAACACATTTGTATACCGAATGTGTCTATTTGTCTATTTCGGTATACAAATGGGTCCTGCAATTAATTTTTATACAACACATATGTATACCGAATGGGTCTATTTGTATATTTCGGTATACAAATGGATCCTGCAATTAATTTTTATACAACACATATGTATACTGAATGGGTCTATTTGTGTATTTCGGTATACAAATGAGTCCTGTAATTAATTTTTATACAACACATATGTATACCGAATGGGTCTATTTGTATATTTTGGTATACAAATGGGATGACAAAAAACATGAAATGTTTACTGCGAATTACAAATAAAAAACTATGGCTATAACATTTAATTTGAATTAATAGTTTGTTATTTCATACAATTTTCCCTATTTTTATGCTATGTGTAATAATATTTGCATTAGTTATACACCCTATTGTGTATTAAGGAATGTATACTACTAATTAATGAAAATTCATGGTATTTGTTATAAATCCACTAAACTAGTGAATTGTCTATGTAGTTTATTCATGAATTACTTACGTTCATATATGTATATTTTCTAGGTGATATGAGCCTTTAACAATGTATCTACTAGTTTGAGTATTTAACATGGTGACCTTTGGAGTGATATCTCAACCTAGCTATAAATAGAGATATCATTCATGATAAGATACACTTGAACAAAAGACAAGTTTTCTCCTTCATCTACATATATTGTCTTCTTCTCTTTATAGTAATATAATATTGTGTTGATCTAAATTTTACAATATGTTATCAACACGAAGTTTCTACTTGCAAAGATATCAACTTCTTATTTAATCCACTTATTCTTCTTATAATCTTATCATGTCAAATTTATCCAAACTTGAGTTTATTGCAGTAGATATCTCTGGAAAAATAATAATTTATCATGGCTATTCGATGCTAAGATTCACTTAGTTGCTAAATGTCTTGATGGTACTATTACTCAGGAAATGAAGTATCGAGTTAACTTAAAGCAAAAGTTATGATTTTTCTTCATAATTATATAAATGAGGGTCCAGAGATTGAATATATAACGGTAAAAGATCCACTTGAATTGTGGACTGATTTAAATATGAGGTACGACCATCTAAGGATCTTGGTATTACCAAGAACTCATTATAAATGGATGCACTTATAGTTTCAATATTTTAAGACCGCAGTTGAATATAACTATGTTGTATTCAAGATAACCTCCCAATTGAAATTATGTGGAAAAATTATAAATTATGAGCACATGTTAGAAAACAACACTTACTACTTTCTATGCCTTAAATGTGACATTACAATAACAATATCGTGAAAAGGATTATTAGAATACTCAGAACTGATCTCATGCATTCTGGTGGTTGAGCCACATAATGTCCTTTAATGAAAATTCACGAAGTTCATCCTACTGAAATTGCTCATGCAAAATACTCATCGGGTTGAGATAATTACTCAAAATGATCTCTTTAAGAGGTAACTCAATTATACTCAATCTTTTTGAAATACTCTGAAAACTCTTTATACTCTTCTAAAAATAGTACTCTCCTTTCAATGTGAAAAAATAATACATTCTTTAAGGGGTAATTGAACTTCTCTTTATCTGGCCGAAATGCTTTTGAAAGTTGTTTAAGCTCTTCTTAAAAATAGTAGTTCTTTTTTCAATGTGAAAATAGTATTTTTTGAACCATTTTTGTTCCCTTAAACTCTTCTCAAAAAGATACTTTGAAAACACTCTCGCTTTAAAATTCCTAAACCAATGCATGAAAATAAATGCACAAAGAATTTCAATAAAAATCTCATCAACTAGGGTTCATTTGAAATATAAGCATGAACAATAACTCAAGGATATCAATATACATAATATTGCAATCTCATAATATAAGAATTTAGAATTCAGAACAAGAGCATAACTCATATCAAGAATTTCAAAATACTAAGGGTAGAACACTAGATTCAATTTGCTACTGACTGAATTGAGATGTAGGGCGTGAAGACGAACTAGTCCAACACTATGAATGGCTTTACATACCTTATACACTCCAAATTCTTGAGAAACCTGAGATCTTTGGATGAAAAGATGACAAGAATTTGTTTCTTGAACCTTATAGATGGATTTTCTTGAAAACCTACGGATTCCATGAGTAGAAGATATTAATTGGTGTTTAGATGAAAAAAATATGAAATTCTATGGTTAAAATCTTACCTTGGATGATGGATGAACCTTGGAGGAAGGCAATTTCTTGAAAACTTATCTTTCTAGGGTAAATAGGGTAAATTTATGAACTAGGAAGGTAAACTACATCTTTGGGTTTTTTTTTAAGACCCAGATGCCTGTGCGGAAAATGTCTCAGGCACGCAACCAACCGCGCAGCAAGGCAATAGTTGCTACCTTGGCGCACGCCTACACGAAAAATGTCTCGATCGCGCGTGTCACGCTCCGAGCCTACACCCTGGACGTGGCCGACACTCGAAGACCATTGCTGGCCCCAAGCGAATCCTTGGCCTGACTTTCTTAACTCAACGGAAACCTAACTCAACAGAAAACTCCATGCAATGCAAGGACATAAAACAACTTAACTAATAAAAATCGGGCCTAAAAGGCAACTCCAATCCCAAAATAGAATATTTACATATATATATAGATGAGAGACGCAAAACTAACTAACTGACTGACTATGAAGCCTCTATAACACTGAGATGGATGTTGGGACAGACCCCGCAACATCCTAATGAAACAAAACTAAGTGAACAAAACAACTGAGTCCTCCAGAATGCAAAGAGGCTCACCACTGACTCTGGAGTGCTCAGCTGGATCAACAGCGTGCTGGATGCTGATCCTGGGTACCTGCGTCTCCATCATAATAAGATACAGACCAACTGGCATCAGTACATGGAATGTACGAGTATGCGAGCTGGACAGCTAAACAACAACTTAAGCTTAAAAGGGATACAAAAGAGAACTTACCTTGGCTCTATTCAACTCATGAATAACTGAACTCAATATAAAGCAATAAGACACATGCAATATATATAAAGCTTGTAAAACTATTTAAAGCATGACGTCAAAATCATATTTATAAAATCATGAAAATACCATGCTTCCTCTCAAAGTCTACTTGTGCAATGCATGAATGAAGTCCCATACCCCCATCCATACTAAGCAAAACCCCTCGAGGAACCATGCAATTTCTATTGTGGGAGTTTCTCTAACCGACAACCACCACTACATGCTAAAGTAGTGATACAATGTTTTACCTCACGTTGCCCAAGGACCATCCTATACCTTGTCGTGATATAGGACCTTAATTTAACTTTAACTTAGTGGATCCACTAGCTTAACTTTACGTGATCATCTAAAAAGTATGACCCGTCAAATCCCATGTTTGGCTACATGGTTCTATGGGGGCTGTGAGTTCTTTGAACGCTCCCCCAATTCGGTGCTTAAGACTACTCCCAAAAATACTTTAGCTCATAAGTGTTTTAAACACATCTTTCTTTAGTTGAGATAATTACTCTTAACTTAGCCTAAAGGTTCTTGAAAACTATTTCTAAAAAGAACATATCAAAACCATATTTTAATATGATCATTGATGACTCGGGAAAGTCATACTGCTTAAACATTGATGGTATATCTAGAGACCATATTGTTTAAACATTGATGACATACTCGATTTGTCATACTAATCATGTTTTAGAAACTCTTTCGCAAAACTCATCTTTTCTCAAAAAGAGATAGTACTCAGACTGCTCAAAACTCTTTTGGAAATCTCAATTTCCTCTCACCTTAAATGTGAAAACATTTATAAACTTCTTTGGGAATACTTAGTTCCCTAATAACTTTTGAGAAATGAACTTGACTCTTTATTCTTGGCTTAACTTGAAACTCTATACTCCTTACTTAACTTGAAACTCTATACTCTTTACTCAACTTGAAACTTGAGCCTAAAATGAAGTTAAAACGTTGAACAAAGACTCTTGAAAAACCTTAAAGACTTGCTTTGACTTACCTCTTAACTTCTAAGCTTGGCTCTAACTTCACTTGACTTCTAACTTCACTTGACTTGGATCCTAACTTGCCTTGAATTGGATTATGGATTCAAGGTATATGATCACATGTTTATGGATGAGTTCTTGACATTTAGACGTACTTTGGAGTGTTGAAAACAACTATAAAACATAGGTATATTACCAAGGAACATGTATGAAAAAGTGGGGAATGAATGGGAAAACTTAGCATCCTTGGCGCGGGGCGCCAACCCTCAAACTTCAGAGGGGCCTGCTGGGCGCTCTGAGAGACGTGCCACCCCAAGGGCTGGACTTCAGAGTCCCTTTTGGGGCGCGATGCACCAGCCCTTTTCCCCGAAAACTCGACTTTTCTCCTTCATTTTGC